ACACCTTAAGCACCAATTTAGTTACTACTTTTTAAATATTAAAGAAATAAAATATTGTTTATTTATTAGTTAGAAGGAAAAAATGAATATAAAATGTGAAATAATAAAAAATAAATTATTTAAATATGGTAAAAGTTGAAAATAAAAAAATAAAAACAAATAATCAAAAAAATTATTAAAAAAACACACAAAGATAATAAAAATAAAAAAGAAAATAAATCAAATTAAAACCTAATAAATAAATAAATTAAAAAAGTTAGTTATTTAGTTTTAAATTCATTTTTATTTTAAAAAATATCACAATCTAAAACAAATAAACTATTTTTACTTGAAATTAAGTGTCAAATTTGAGAGATTAATGCACTTTCCTAAACAAGAACCTAACTCTGATGCACCTTGAGCACCAATTTTAATATATCTTTTTAAATATTGAGGAAATAATATTGTTATTTACAATGAAAAAATAATTAGTAAAGCAAAAGTTGAAAATGAAAAAATGAGTTAAATTAAAAAATAAACAAACAATGAATGAATGAAAGCAGTTAAAAAAGAACACAAAGATATAAAAATAAAAAATTAAAAGGGTAAAATATTTTTAATTAATTTTTAGATTCAAATATATCATAATCCAAAACAAATAAACTAACTGTTTTTACTATAGATGAAGTATCAAATTTGATAGATTAGTGCACTTTCCTAAACAAGATCCTAAGTCTGATATACCTTAGGCACCAATTTTATTAAAACTTTTTAAATATTGAAGAAATAATATTTATTTAATTAGTTACTTACAAAAAAAATATTAAGATAAAATGTGAAATAAGAAGAAATAAATAAATTAATTAATTCATAAAAGCAAAAATTTAAAATCAAAATATGAGTTAAATTAAAAAATAAGCAAACAAATAAATTAGAAAAAAAAAAAACACAATCACAATAAAAAAAAAGCAAATAAACCTAATAAAAAGCTAATAAATAAGTAAATTAAAAAACTTAATTATTTTTTTTTCAATTTATTTTTATATAAATAAAAATCTCAATCCAAATCTAATAAACTGTTTTTACGTTAGATCAAGTGTCAAATTTGATAAATTAGTACACTTTACTAAACAAGAACCTAAGTGTTATGTACCTTTATCACCAATTTAATTGTTACTTTTTAAATATTTAAGAAAAAGTATATTGTTAATTAGTTTTTTAGAAGGAAAAAATGATGATAAAATGTGAAATAATAAGAAATTAATTAGTTAATTAATTCATAAAAGCAAAAGTTGAAAATAAAAAATTGAGTAAAAAAAACAAATAATGAAAGTAATTAATAAAGACAAACAAACAAAATAAAAAAAGAAAGAAAATAAATTAAATAAAAAGTTGATAAATAAATAAATTAAAAAAGTTTTATATTTATT